GACACTCACAGCACCCTCATACACACACACTCACACACACTGCACCCCTGACACTCACAGCACACACACACTGCACCCCTGACACTCACAGCACCCTCACTCACACACTCACATAAACTGCACCCCTGACACTCACAGCACACACACTCACAGCACCCTCACTCACACACACACTGCACCCCTGACACTCACAGCACACACACACACACACTCACAGCACCCTCACTCCCACACACACACTGCACCCCTGACACTCACAGCACACACACACACTGCACAGCACACACACACTGCACACACACACACTGCACAGCACACTGACACTCACAGCACACACACACACACTGCACCCCTAGCACTGCACAGCACACACACTGCACCCCTAACACTACAGCACCCTCACACACACACACACACTGCACCCCTGACATGCACAGCACACACTCACTGCACCCCTGACGCGCACAGCACACACTGCAACCCTGACACGCACAGCATACACACACTGCCTGACACGCACAGCACACCTGCACCCCTAACACTTACAGCACCCTCACACACACACACACACACTGCACCCCTGACATGCACAGCACACACTCAATGCACCCCTGACGCGCACAGCACACACTGCACCCCTGACACGCACAGCACACACACACTGCACCCCTGACATGCACAGCACACACTCACTGCACCCCTGACGCGCACAGCACACACTGCACCCCTGACATGCACAGCACACACTCACTGCACCCCTGACACGCACAGCACACACTGCACCCCTAACACTTACAGCACCCTCACACACACACACACACTGCACCCCTGACATGCACAGCACACATTCACTGCACCCCTGACGCACACAGCACAGACTGCACCCCTAACACTTACAGCACCCTCACACACACACACACTGCACCCCTGACACTCACACACACACACACACACCGCACCCCTGACATGTCAGGGTATTTATATCGACAGACATTTTGTGCTATGATAGAAATTAAAAGTGTATATTCTGAGTCACTCTGAACAGACCAGACTCCATTTTGTTATTTTCAAGTTAACAAAAGGACACAAGATTTCTTTCTGTAAGACTAGCCACTTTGCCAGAGCTAAAGGAATGCATAGTATAAACAAGTGATAAGCAGAAACGGGGGTTGGATAGACTGTCTAAAATGCCAATGGAATATAATTAATTCTAAACCCAGACAATTGTGACAGAGAAGATGAAATAATAAAATTTAACTGTCTATACATATAAGGTCCCATTGTAAGTTACGGGTCAAAACTCAGATTGCCAGACACATAGTCTGGACAAAACTTAAATAAACCCTTTGATCTGTGAAGGATACGTAAGTTATGGCCACTATCTAGATAGGCCAAAATGACGTCAAAATAGCCACCAGGAAAAGTTAACTCTTTCCTGGATAGGTATGTTTAGTGGGACAAGACTGCCCTCTATAGACTAAATACCGAAATTGCGATCTGGAAGATAACCACACCTCTAGTGCTTCTATTGGGTTATCAACTAATGACTTAGCTGATTCACTGGCAAAACAAGCTGCCATCAATGGTGAAACCCTAAATATTGATGATCTTATGGGTTCAATTCACATTGAAGCCATAACTAGACGACAGACTAGAGATAATGCCGACTTAAATGTCGTGCAATGGAGTCAAGAAGCTCCTAGTGAGGACCTGATTACCAGTCAAAAGAATGATACCGTCATAGGTATATTCTATAAACATATAGAAGACCCTACTGCCAATCCCATCACAGATGAGGATTGCAAAAATAATGAAGATTTACGAATCTTGATGAGATATAAAGTCCAATTTAGTATCATGGATGGGTTACTGGTCAGAACTTCTAAACATGGTATACAACAATGGGTAGTCCCAACTGTATACAGAGGGCTAATGCTCCAACACGCACATTGACTTATTTGTCAAAAGTAAAGACAAATAAGTCAATGGGACCTGATGGAATACACCCAAAGCTATTAAAAGAGCTTAGTGGTGTACTAGCAAAACCATTAACAGATTTATTTAACCAATCATTGTTAACAGGAGTAGTCCCAGAAGATTGGAAATTAGCGAATGTTGTGCCCATTTACAAGAAAGGTAATAGGGAGGAGTCGGGCAACTATAGGCCAGTAAGCCTTACTTCAGTAGTGGGGAAAGTGATGGAAACCATGTTAAAGGATAGGATTGATGAACATCTAAAAACACATGGATTTCAAGATCAGAGACAACATGGGTTTACTTCAGGGAGATCATGCCAAACTAATCTTATTGATTTTTTGATTGGGTAACTAAAATTATAGATCAGGGTGGTGCAGTAGACATTGCTTACCTAGATTTCAGTAAGGCTTTTGACACTGTTGCACATAGAAGGCTTATCAATAAACTGCAATCTTTAAGTTTGGATTCCAATATTGTTGAATGGGTAAGGCAGTGGCTGAGTGACAGGCAACAGAGGGTTGTAGTTAATGGAATATATTCGAAGCTTGGACTTGTCACCAGTGGGGTACCTCAGGGATCTGTACTTGGACCCATTCTCTTTAATATTTTTATTAGTGATATTGCAGAAGGTCTTGATGGTAAGGTATGTCTTTTTGCTGATGATACTAAGATATGTAACAGGGTTGATGTTCCAGGAGGGATAAGCCAAATGACAAATGATTTAGGTAAACTAGAAAAATGGTCAGAATTGTGGCAACTGACATTTAATGTGGATAAGTGCAAGATAATGCATCTTGGACGTAAAAACCCAAGGGCAGAGTACAGAATATTTGATAGAGTCCTAACCTCAACATATGAGGAAAGGGATTTAGGGGTGATTATTTCTGATGACTTAAAGGTAGGCAGACAATGTAATAGAGCAGCAGGAAATGCTAGCAGAATGCTTGGTTGTATAGGGAGAGGTATTAGCAGTAGAAAGAGGGAAGTGCTCATGCCATTGTACAGAACACTGGTGAGACCTCACTTGGAGTATTGTACACAGTACTGGAGACCGTATCTTCAGAAGGATATTGATACCTTAGAGAGGGTTCAGAGAAGGGCTACTAAACTGGTTCATGGATTGCGGGATAAAACTTACCAGGAAAGGTTAAAGGATCTTAACATGTATAGCTTGGAGGAAAGACGAGACAGGGGGGATATGATAGAAACATTTAAATATATAAAGGGAATCAACACAGTAAAGGAGGAGACTATATTTAAAAGAAGAAAAACTACCACAACAAGAGGACATAGTCTTAAATTAGAGGGACAAAGGTTTAAAAATAATATCAGGAAGTATTACTTTACTGAGAGGGTAGTGGATGCATGGAATAGCCTTCCAGCTGAAGTGGTAGAGGTTAACACAGTAAAGGAGTTTAAGCATGCATGGGATAGGCATAAGGCTATCCTAACTATAAGATAAGGCTAGGGACTAATGAAAGTTTTTAGAAAATTGGGCAGACTAGATGGGCCGAATGGTTCTTATCTGCCGTCACATTCTATGTTTCTATGTTTCTATGTTTCTATGTTTCACATGATGCACCTACATCTGGGCATCGTGGTGATAAGATCACATATGAGATATTGCGTGATTATGCATATTGGCCACACATGTTAAGGGATGTTAAGACATACTGTCAGGGATGCTTGATTTGTCCGCAATATCAACCCCATGGTCCAACCCATCGTGCACCACTTCAGAAGAGGGGGGTGTCATTACCCTGGTCTGATATTCAAATTGACTTTATAGGTCCTGTAACAAGATCTTCAAGAGGTAACAAATACATGTTAACCGTTACATGTATGTACACAAAGTGGATAGAATGTTTGCCTTGAAAAGAGAACACGAGTACCGTGTGCGCCACTTTGTTGATTAACCATGTCTTTTCCAGGTTCGGTCTGCCTCAAAGAATTGAGTCAGACAGAGGTAGTCATTTTACCAGCGAAGTAATGGCTAAGATGTGGAACATTCTAGGTGTTAAACGAAAGCTACATATTGCATACCGCGCTGCGTCTAGCGGGGGGGTAGAGCGATATAACCAGTCTATCGTTAATATTCTGAAGAAATATGTTAAGGAGTCTGGTAAAGACTGGGACATTAAATTGCCCCTAGTTTTAATGGCGATTAGAGCTACACCTAGCACTGCTACCAAATTGTCACCTTTTGAATTGATGACAGGAAGAAAGATGGTTTTACCACAGCATTTACTATATCGTACTTCAGATCATAACTTGATCAATGCTGCCACTACGCATCAGTATATCGAAGATTTGCGCAAGCATTTACAGCATGCGTTTGCTTTTGCCCAAAAGAATCTAGAAAAAGCAGCGACAGGGGTTAAGACCTATTACGATCTAAAAACCACGAAAAAGGAATATGAGATAACAGATCAAGTCTATCTGTATAACTTTGCGCGAAATCAAGTCAAGGAAAATAAATTTTTACCTTCTTGGAAAGGGCCATATGTCATCATTGACAAAATTTCCCCAGTAGCGTGCAAGATAAAAATTCCTAAGGATGGTGATTTTATTGAAAAGTGGGTTCACATTAACCAGTTGCGTGCTTGTCATCCTAAATCTCAATTAAGGATTATAGGTGTGGATTCGGATGCAGAAGGGTGAACGACTAACCTGGATGAATGCTTGATTCACGTGGTATCGTATGATGTGAAATGTTGTGATGTGCCATGATCTCATGTACGTTCATGTCATTAACCATTTCCTTGCCATCCAATAACTACATTTTTAAGCAGGTTACTAGCTTGTTTAACTGCTATAGGCATATTGCTGAGAAGTCAGTAATAAATGTAGTGAGGGATGAAGTTATAAAAATAGAATTAGACAGAATACATATGTTGATGAATCGTAAAAATGTGTGATCCTAGGCCAAGTGATGTCACACTGTTATAAGTTTGTATGCTTAACAAACCTTGAATCATTAGTAGATAAGTCTGAACGAGCTCCTGATCCGTGACTGTCGAAAGATGTCCAAGAAGGATGTGGCGTGTTTCTGGATCGTACTGCTCCTGTGCCAAGAGCTACGGACCGACCCGATCGCAGAGATGGGACCATCCTCTGGCATCCTGATTCAAGAGACACCAGGGTTCATCTTGACAGAGAAGAGGATCCTGACCCGACGTGTGTTCGTCAGCTTGGACCCCAAGATTTCCATCGAGAAGGCATACAACATTTCATCGATGCAGCTTCCTGAGTTACAGAATTGGTACCAGATGCACCTCCAAAGAGCACAGGACCGTGTGCGAATCATCTTGGAGCAAGCCCGGGAACCATTTGTATCCAGTTCTATTCCGATGAGCAACCGACCCAAAAGGTTCCTCACCGCTATAATTGTTGCATTAGTTTGTGCCACTGTCGGTGCAGTTGTCGCAACTGGAATGTCTGCAGCCAACTCTATTACTGTCCAAAAGCTGGATATGGAAATCTATGCGCTAAAGCAACACATTAATGATATTCATCAGATGATACAACAGCAAAGAACACTTCTCCAAGACGTGTTAACTATTGTGGAAGACACAGTTGTTACAACAAATTTGCATTCGGAGTTAATTGCCAAATCCACTGAGTTGCACCAAAGTCATGACTTATTTAAGCGTGAACTTCTATTTTCATGACCCAATATTGTTCCACACACTTGCTTTTCTTGACGAAGTGCAAACTGGAATGATCGAATTGGCAGGGGGACGCATACCTCTGTATTTTGTATCCAAGGATATTGTTCATGCGATGCTTGCCAATGTGGATGGAGAGACAATTGAGCCTATGCAATTAAATCTGGACTTTGAGATGGGGAGCGCTATACCTCTCTTAATTGATCCGGAACGTATGGAGATTTGCTTTTTATTGACCATACCATATGTAACTCCCAAAGACATTTTTCAAATGAAAACAATGTGCTATGATAATAATGATATTATGGTTGATTGTACTAAGTGTAAAGTTCAAAACTATTACAGGTACAAATATATACAAAAATGTTCATTCCACGCACGGGCCTATGTTAGAAATGATGTGATTGCACAATATGTCTGGTAACTTCTATAGTGCTTATTCATAAGCTAAATTAATTTTGGCTACGAAATGCACTAAAGGGGGGTTATGTCAGGGTATTTATATCAACAGACATTTTGTGCTATGATAGAAATTAAAAGTGTATATTCTGAGTCACTCTGAACAGACCAGACTCCATTTTGTTATTTTCAAGTTAACAAAAGGACACAAGATTTCTTTCTGTAAGACTAGCCACTTTGCCAGCGCTAAAGGAATGCATAGTATAAACAAGTGATAAGCAGAAACGGGGGTTGGATAGACTGTCTAAAATGCCAATGGAATATAATTAATTCTAAACCCAGACAATTGTGACAGAGAAGATGAAATAATAAAATTTAACTGTCTATACATATAAGGTCCCATTGTAAGTTACGGGTCAAAACTCAGATTGCCAGACACATAGTCTGGACAAAACTTAAATAAACCCTTTGATCTGTGAAGGATACGTAAGTTATGGCCACTATCTAGATAGGCCAAAATGACGTCAAAATAGCCACCAGGAAAAGTTAACTCTTTCCTGGATAGGTATGTTTAGTGGGACAAGACTGCCCTCTATAGACTAAATACCTAAATTGCGATCTGGAAGATAACCACACCTCTAGTGCTTCTATTGGGTTATCAACTGATGACGTACAGAGAGTCTGGCCCTTTAAAAGTTAAGACAAAGGGAAGATAGAGATATGCAAGAAAGACAGATGCAAAGGAGAAAGAAAAAGAGGAGAGAGGAATTGGAAGTTTGGGGACTCCAACCTCCATGCAGAGAGACATCCAAATAAGTTCCTGAGACTACCAATCGGATGAAATATCTACTCAACTGGTAATTATACTGGTTTCATTTAATTAATTAAATTAATTAAAATGTATTAATAGCATGATATATGACTGGATAAAGCACGGTCAGATTTCCATATTAAGAAATCTTAGTTAACTAAAGAATATATAGTTATAAACATTCCATTCTGCAGGTGGAATTAAGAATAATTATATATTGATGTGATATTATCACGTGTTAGCATACCGCTGTTTTTATCCAGGTGTATTGATTTGCTCTAAATTAAGATAAGATATCTTTTAGACAAATTAAAATCTGCTTATATAATATGGTAGATTCTCTTATTGGATGGTTCCAGGAAATGACTAATGAACTGGTTTAAATGTTGTTTTATTTAAAAATTACATAAGAATAGATCTTAATTACTTAGGAGATCTAGCCAGCATTGAAAGGGTTATTCTAACTGTCGGCTAAACTTTACGACCTTACGCTGCACTCTGAGGAATTCTGTTCTTCGCTCTGAAAAGTTTCACTTTCAGTCTGTGTTAAGGATACCTCATAAATCGTCAAAAGTCTTGACAGAAAATGCTATTTAGCCATTGAGACGTGTGTAGCCATTTCTTTGTATTGCATATCATTTTATTCATTGATTATTGTCACGCATGTTACATATTATTATTATTAATTAATTTGTCATTATAAATAAAAATCTATTTTTATACATTGTGATATTATTTATATGAAATACTTTCACTTACGATAAACGTTCTTTAGGATCTGAGAACTGAATTAGTGGGCAATTCTCAACTGTTTACTATTATTATCCCATAAATATCCCCACAGACACTCACAGCACTCTCACTCACACACTCACATAAACTGCACCCCTGACACTCACAGCACCCTCACTCACACACACTGCACCCCTGACACTCACAGCACACACACACACACACACACACACTGCACCCTTGACACTCACAGCACACACACACTGCACCCCTAACACTAACAACACCCTCACACACACACACACACACACACACACACACACTGCACCCCTGACATGCACAGCACACACTCACTGCACCCCTGACACACACAGCACACACACACTGCACCCCTAACACTTACAGCACCCCTGACACACACAGCTTTCTCTCATGCATATACCTCACGCAAACACAGCACCCAATCACACACAGCACACACACAGCACCCTTACCCACATAGCACACTCACGCAAACACAGCACCCATCACTCACACACTGCACCCCTCTCGCACACACTACACCCCTTACACACACACAGCACCCTCACACACTGCACAAGCATTTTTGTCTCCTGGTATCCCAACTATAGAGACACCAGAGACAAATTTCAAGCAAACACAGTGCAAGCATGTTATTGAATTTGCTTGCGCTGTGCAGAACAAATACAGGGCTTTTTCTAATGCCAGAGCTCTTCAGCAGAGTTCTGCGCATGGTCTACCCTGGATGAGCATTGAACCAACATGCTCACTTTGTGATGGGGCGTGCTTGTCATTGGTGATGATAAAACACACCCTATCCGGCCCCGCCCCCTTTGTAGTGGGCCGCTGTAATTAAAAAATGCCCAGGCCGAATTTTCTTCCCAGTCCGGCCCTGACGACAGAGATGTGACATTCTTCCAAGACTCAGTGGAACACAACATCCACAGGCATACCGTTCAAAATGTAGTCTATTCTACCATTTTCGCCACCTTTCATTCAAACCTTCATACTACACTATCGCACTATACCACTCAGACATACAACAACACGTTTCTGACAAGCCTTTTAAACTATACCCCATCTTCTTAAATGCTTAACATACAATATCAAGGTATAAATAATTGATTCATTACTCCACAACAACATACATCCATAGATGGGAATTCCGGGCAGTATCAAACTCCCTAGACAGTATCCGTACCACACAAACTCGGTCTTAAACCTCTGTGCCTTTAACCTTCCAAGGGTTCCGAGAGTAACTTCACGATCACAGCTAATCAGACTGGCAGATCACGTCTCCTCAAGGAAGATTTAAGAAGGCACAGACACTACCTCATGTCACGCAAACATTCAAACCAGACAATCAAGACACTTGATCTACTAAATAATCCCCTAACTACCTCTAAATGCAGTTCTACATTTATACTCCTTGCATTAGATTAGGTTGGGACCACTGCCTCCTATTTAGGACATCCATTCAATAAGTACTGCATCCAGTACACCTGTACACATAATAAATTAGAGTCACTGGAAAATAAGCTACGTTATACAGGAACATTCCACAACGGATAAGAGGTAAGGCAAACAAATCTTATGGGATAATTATATTGCAATAAGTGTGTTTTCTTGCTTTTTCCTTTTGCCCTCTTTTACAGGCCTACCCCCTACAATCACAAGGTATTTCACTATATGATATTAAATGACCACAAGTATCTTTTTAAATACAAGAGCTATATATACCATTGCAGGAGGATGTGGATACCTGCCTGGAAAAAGGGCTGCAGCGACAGAGGGGACGATACCTGTCTGGAAGGAGAACTGCAGCCTGGTTGGGTGGAAAAGCTCCACAAGGACCCCAGTCAAGCTTTGGCGATTGGGCCTGAAGCAGTCCCTGCAAGTGGCGAGGAAGCAAACTCGGTGGAGGTACTTGGTCGTAGTACAGGAACTCCGTCACAATAATGATATCTCGAAATGAAGTCAGCATGCATAAATGGATGTTATAAAAAAGGGTCACTAGAAATAATCAGCATTCTTCCAACTTACTCTATGAATCAATTAGCATATAGAAAACGTGTTTCATCACCCATGACAAGCTCAAAAGAAAACTGTCCAAAAAACATATCTTCAAGATAAGGGGAGTATTTAACTTTTTGATCATTTTTTTTTAGGTTGGGTGTGTTGGGGGTGAATTTACAAATTCACCAGAATCATTGGATCAAGCATTTGTTTCATTTATGTTTCATGTTATGTTAATTAGACCCAAGGATACAGAGAATGTTCTAAAATGTAGAATATATAAAAGAGAATTGGGTAGAGAGAACTATTAGGTTTACTCTCCTAGCAGTCAAACTGGAACAGCATACAATAAATCCTCCCCCAATAATGAGACAAAACTTCACTTTGAGGGTTAAAACAGGAACTCCCTGTACTGTCACATACAGTCTCTTTTATTCCCAATCCAGAAACATAGTACAGCCCACAGGGCGTTACAAAACAGCCAATCAATCCATACAATACACCCAGACACTCCCACACAAAATCCTCCCCTCTGCCTGTAATACAATTTCCTTACACAATGGGTAATCTAATTATCACAGACAGGGAAATACAGTTTCATACACATCACAGGGACCCCAAAACATGCAATAACCCCATAAATCCTTGGAACCGGGGGATCTGGATGAACCACATATCCAAAATTCACCCAGATCCGTTCAGTAGTTTGGAAAATACAGTTTAATGCAGATTCTGCAGAATATATACAGGCTAAATGAAAAACAATCACTGTATAATGTGTCCCCTGCTGTATAGTCCAAAACCACTGCATGATGTCTCTGTGCACCAAATACTGGCAAGATGGCACCGTGTTGAAAAGTCCAACAGTGTCTGTGAGTTAAAATGGCCGCCATCCATTGTTCTCACCATGTGCTTCCTCCATTGTTCTCACCATGTGCCTCTGATACAGGAAATGGTGGCCACCCAGTAACTCCACAGTATGTCCCCAGATGGTTCTTAAAGGGCCAGCAGCAGCACAACACAA